ATAGGGAATGGCAAGGGACACACTGACAAAGGAGATTAATCAGAACTGGCTTTGACAAGCACTGTGTCAATTGGACAATTAAAACAGACATGGGGCTGGGGAAGAAGAACGAACTGGGGATGAGGGTGGAGAAAACAGTGCAACAATGAATGAATGAATACCCAAAATCTCTGTAAATGTTCATTAAAACTAATAAAATTTAATTAAAAAAACACTCTGAGACACTCCTGTCAGAATCGGCCAACTCTGTCACTTACATTTTTGACCCACAAACGATATGAGAGAAATGTTTACTGTGGTCTTTAAAAAGAGAATTAAAAAACGTGGTTTTTTTTTTGCCACTTCACAAAATTGTTTGCCTTGAAAGAGGAAAAAAAAATTAATATATTTCCTTTTTTTAAAAAAAATTTCGTTTTGTTTTTTAAAAGGTATTTCCTTTTTAAACAGCTCAACTGTCCAACTACAACTGAACAGATTGAGAAATTACTGTACATTCACACAATGGAATACTATGCAGCACTCAGGAGCAATGATTTTGCTTACTAAATGATTACTAATTTGCTTACTAATGATTACTAAATAACTTGGGAGGGACTGGAGAGCATTATGCTGAGTGAACTAACTCAGTCTCATCTGGATAAACAGTGTAAACATGTATGAGGATCCAAGGAGGGGAGGGGAGGAACAAAAGGCTGAGGATGGGTGAGGGGAAATGATAGAGTCACACAATTTGATAGATGAAGGGAAGAGTGGGTAAAGAAGATGGAAAAAATCTGATGGGGATCTAGAAAGACAATGTTGATTAATTTCATAAAATATAATGAATGGGAATGATGGTATGAAACACAATGTGAATATGAAGGAAGGATACTATGAAACACAATATATATGAACTTTATAAGCAAACTAATATAAAATAAAAAGTAAAAAAAAGATATTTCCTTTTTTTCTCCCAATAAATTCTTTTTATCACATAAGAAAAAATAAAAAGAGGTAAGAATAATTGGTCTTGGTTTGGGAGCATCAATTCTTTTACATCACTGGGAAATAAGGTCTACGTAACAATTTTCCATAACCCAGAGAAGAAAGCCTACGAAAAATGAAAGACAGCTTGCCCATGCTTGCCTAACACAGAGTTCTTCCACAAAGGCCCTGACAGGAGCTCACATACTCTTCTAATGTAATACCACCATGTTTATAGCATTATCCATCCAACACAACATTCTCACACTCATTCTAAAATGTTCTTACCAAGCAAAGGAGGTGTGAAGACATGCCCACAAGTTGTCATCACTGGTCAAAGATGTTAGTGATCGGGCTGCATTGCCATTCCTCTGATGCAGGAATGGTGTGAAAGCTGTGTTCATCCTCTGGGCTCGCTGTGGACATCCAAACTGCTCCGCCTCAAACACCTGGAAAGCAACGGCAGGGAATGCACCCTCTCAAAACAAAGCCAGGCAGCCAACTTCAGGAGTACTACAGGCTCTAGGTGCAAATTACAGAAACTGCCACCAGAAATTCTTTGGCTTTCCTAGCTAGTGTAAGGGTCACTTGAGTGAGGAACCAAAGACACCTTTCTTGTGCACTCTCTCCCTCCTCTGATTCATGATGGCACTCAGGTAACATGCTGAGGCAGCCATAAGTGCTGTTCTCCAAGAATTTCGAATCCCCTCCTCAAGACACAGTAGAATCTCTGTGCCTAGTGTGGGATGAGACATATGACTAGTTCTGGTCAATGAGGTGAGAGTAAGGCCCGCCAGTTAAGTACTCCGATTTCCTCCAACAGGCAAATGAGCAGCATTCAAGGCAACCACTGCCCTATTTGACTCAATGCCAACTCACAGCTGAGGTTATAAATTACACAGGAGGAGATTGCCCATTTTTCTCCCATGGAGCCACTATTGAATTCATACTTACAGAGAGGCACCACTTTGGGGATAGCAGTGAAACTCCCTGTGGAATGGGCTACCAGAGCTGCCTATCTGTCTGGATGACTATAATAAACAGATCCTCCTGGAATCCTGCAATGGACACAGCGTGAAAAACAAACTCTTGTGGCTGTAATCTGCTGAGAATGAAAGATGTAATTGACATCATCAGTAAAGAAATGAGAGCTGAGTAAGAACCATGACAACAAGAGACCAAGAAAATAAGCAGGGGTTGACTAACTGGGTCATGCAGTCCCAACTATGAAGCTAAGAGATGACAACTTAAGAAGAGCAGCAGTTCAAGACTAGCAGAAATAAAACTGCCTGGGACACACACTCCGCTCCTGAGCAGAGAGATCATCACTGCTGTGCCCTCAGCTCAGCAGGCCTCACCCTTATCAGCATCACCTTGAGGGCCTTGCCCTGGAGCTCATCGATTATGCCACGAATCTTCCCAAGCAGAAAGGGCCAGGAGTTGATGAGATAGATGCGGTCCATCATGATGACAATGATGCTGTACCAGCGCTGGAAGCCCCTGGCTAGGCTGTCTTTGATAAAGAAGGTGTGGCTGAATACAAAACCATGTTGTTCATCTCCAAAGAAGATGGGGCCTTCACGTCCAGGGCAGACCTAGGAAGAGAGAAGTGTGAGGCAGCTGTCCTCTTCTGCTTCAGGGACAGGGGTCCACTCATTTTCTCTATGAACTAATTCGCTCCATGCACTGCCAGGAAGAATGAGGAGAGAAGGCAGGAAGGGGAAATCATGCATTAACTGCTCCTGTGATCACTTTCTGAAGGCCTGGCACATTTGCTTTTATAAAATGCAGGTAAAGTTGATTCATTCTTTCTCTCTTGAACCCCATACCCCCCACCAAATTCTATACAACCATTACTTCTACCTTGGGCTCAAGTTTGACCACTTGGAATATACTTAAGAACCAAGAAAGTAAAAATAGCTACTGTACAATCCATATAATGAAATTTTATGTACTTTATTTTTAATACGATGAAATAAATGTTTTTAATTTTACATACTTTGTTAATAATCTATTACTAACATATTGTAATAGCCTATTATAACAGTCACTTCTCTATTTGGAGGAGGTTAGCAGCCCAGCTCCTCACAGACTATGCCAAGAAATGGAAAGGAGAAGGGCAAGCACACAGACACAGTAAATGAGGCCTGGAAGTGAGGGCAGCAGGATCTCTCTGATGAAGTGAATACCAGGGACAAGACATTTTAGTAACTTAACTGTGAGTTCTTTGTGGCAAAGAGACAAAAATTCTCCAAGAAAGCTAAGACTTGTACTCACACCAGCAGCCAGAGTTCAGGAACAAGTTGATCTACCTCTCCACTACCACCTGACCACTGGAAGTTCACAGTGAGGATCAAGACTTTCTAGAAGGTTACGCTACAGATGGCAGTGAAATACACATACTAGAAATATGTCCAATGAAAATGAACTAATAATAAAATTTCGGTGTTTAAAAGTAAAAAGCCAATAACCAAGCAGAAAACCTGCTTTCTGACAGGGTTTATTCTGAGGGGGATTCCTATATAGACAATCTCCCACATCAAAGGTGCTGACCTCACAGCTCAGGCTTCGCACACAGGCCTGGCGGACAATGCTGAAGAGCTGGGGGTGGTTAGGGTGCTGGTGGCTGACGTATTTGATGGAGGTCTCCTTGTCGTGACTGATATACCCTGGATGCCCTACAGCAAGGGACCTGCAGCCCTGCCCACAGGAGGAAAAGAAAGTCAGTTAGTTGGCTGCCTGGCAATAGATTTTAGCTTTATGCAAATATAAATTCAGAAAATGCAATCTTTTTATATAAAAGTAACTAGTTGCTATACTTTACACTTACCTGTCAATTTAAATGTTGATGAAATAAACTGGTAGGCTTATTAGTAAGAAATGTTTACGGAGCACTTATGTACCAGGTATTGTATATAATCTCATCTAATCCTAGGCAAGGTTCTCATCTGTTGTTCACTGGGTTTTAATCAACGTGACAGCATGTAACAGCAACAAGAAGCCAAGGCATCACCCAAAGACAGATATAGTAAGAATCTTCACTTAAGAGGAGGGAAACTGAGGCTCTGAGATGCTGAATGGCAAGTCCAGGGTCACCACTATGAAACACAGTACTTTGCACACCTTGCCACCTAAGCCTCTGTTCCTGATACAGACACCAGCAGGTGACAAAGAGTCAAGCAAGGAACATACATAGCTTCCTGCAGGCAGCCTTACCAATGGGCTATGTACCAGATGCACCAAAACAAGTCTTGTGTGCAAGACTCCAAGCCCCTCTGATGATCTCCCTTGCCTTTCACCTCTTCCCCACTAGGCCTCTCCAATAGCCAATTTCCTGCACACTGAATCTCAACTTGGGATCAGCAACTCAGCAGAACATGCTGGGTCTCCATTCCACATGGTAGTGACAGCCTTACATCACCTGGACCTGAAAGAACTGACATTTCGCTTCCCAGACCTCACAAAGTGATGCCAAGAAGGCTCCAGGGTGGGGATACTCTAAGGAGGATGGGTTGATGAAATCTGAGACCTGGCAGAGAGTGTGGGCTGTACATGAAAAGGCCCACTGAATGTGCCTGGTCTGTGCCCACCACCCCAAAAGCATGCCCTCCCATCAGGCCTCACACTGTTCCTGGCACCAGGACTCTGGTCCATTTTACCTCCGTAGCATTTTTGGCTGTCCAAGTACTTCATGTCAGGATGTTAGCAGCAGAAACATAAGCACAGCACCTCCAACAAAATAAATACTTTGGAAACCAAGAAGACACTTGCCTCACACATGTCAGACTTTTTGGGCCCTGGGCTGCTGGCTTCAGCACTGGCTCCTTCTGCTGGGCTAAGGGAACGGATGCGACTACTCATCTGAATGCCACCTTCTTCCTCCTCAGCTTGTTCACCCTGGTCAGGTTTGTCTCCACTCCTGGCCCCTTGGGGGAGTGGAGCATGGAGGACTTCAGTACAAAAGAGAGTTCGGGGGCCATGCAGTTCGCAGAAGTGACAGAGTGCAACGATGGCATTCATGCTGCCTGGGAGCCAGCACACAGCCTGTAAGTGGAGGGAAAGACCGCTAGCTAATAAGTGATACACATGGCAAAAAGGTTCCTACATTGGTGCACTACCAGACCTACAGAGAGGAGCCTCACTGACTAAACAGTCAGTGTCTTCCACACCCTAGGAGAGGCAGATGCCTCAATACATGGTGCCAGGCCCCAAGTAGAGAAGAACTGGGTAGCTTGAGAGGGTCTGGAGGAGGAGGGCCAGGAGTAGGAGATAAGAGCAGGAGGAGACACACAGCATCTGACCATATTTGAAAAGTATCCTTCTGGCTTCTGTGTCAAAAAGAGATTACAGTTGAAGGGGAAATAGAAGGAGGGGGAAATTGCATGGGAGGAGATTGCCCATCTTTCTTGTGCAGTTGGCAGAAGTTAGCACACAGCCTGTAAGCGGAGGGGAGACCATCAGCTATTAAGTGCTCATACCACTTTGAGAATGGTCATGATCTGACTGCATTCCCCAGATACCACCAGTAGGTGATGATGAAGGACAGAGTATGGGTCTGAGGTAACAAATTAGGCAGAGAGCAGAAGGTAAATTCAAAGTGTTATCCCAGACACCAAGAGGGCAGAGTTCTGAAGAATGGATGGCCCCAGTAGCCTCATGGGTCAGAGAGATGAAAAAAGGCACAAAGGGAAAAAAAGAAACATATGTACATCTATACAGACAAAAAGTAGATTAGAAGTTACCAGGGGCATTATCAGTTAATCAGGAGAAGTGAATGGGCCCAGAGTTTCTGTTTGAGGTGAAGTTTCGGAAACAGACAATGGTAAAGTTTGCACAACACTGTGACTATAACTAATACCACTTGAATGGTACCCGAAAAATTATTACAAATGCCTAGTGGTAAGGAGCTGTGTTGCCAACTCAAAGCCATGCTGTTTGAATCCACCAGCTGCTCGGCAAGAGACAGCATGGGCAATCATCTCTCGTGCAACTGACGGCGTCTGAAAACCCACTGAAGGGTCAGCTATCAGGTGGTTTTAACTCAACTGTACATAGCAACAAAAGTTTTAGCATAATTTTACTTTTTAAAAAGATCATTCTAGCAAGTTATCTATATGAAAGAAGCATATGGCCAATTTTTATTTATATGAGGAACATCAGTACTGACCTTGTTGTTTAGCCGAATCACAGTTCCATCGCCCTACCTAGATGGCACTGTGCAAGGCTATTTCCAAACGACTCAGGCATGAGAATCACATTCAACTTCAGTTCAAAGTCCTGACATTTAGGCAAGAAAAAGAAAATTAGGAGCAATAGTCTTCATAAAAAAAAAAATCAATTCATTGTTCGTTGCCAGTGCTAACAAGCAATGACCTTGTGTGTGCAGAGCAGAATTACTCAAGGTTTTGAACTTGTCATCCAGATGCTTCTGGGTAAGTTCAAAATATCAAACTTTTGGCAAGTAGTTGTCAGTTGAGCACTGACGTACACACACACACACACACACAGAGACATGGGTTTTCTTGACTGTATATAGGGCAGGCATCCAGGTTTTTCCCCTGAGATCCTGCTGGGTGGGTTAAAACCAACCCTCTGATCAATAACATAGGATTTAATCACTGCATCATCAGGGTTTCCTCTATCCTGGTTAAACTCTAGTCCAGAGGTTCTTAACCTAGTTTCTGAGTCCTACTATCTCTTCTAAGTTTTCTAGAATGCAAGGAAGAGGCAAAAATCTTCCCTGGCCTACCAATTCCATCACCATTACACCTGTAAGAGGTAGACTTCCTGTTCACCTTCTCACATTACTGGTTTGTGACTTAGCTGAATTGGAAACCCACAGACTTAACAGTGACCTCTCCCTAGTGTGTCCTGTGCCCTGAATCCATTTCACAGGACTGCTGAAGATTAATGACCATTATGATCCTTATCACTAACAAACTAACTCAAAGCCCAGTTATGACCCCCTAGCTACTTGTGTGCATGAAAAACCTATACACAGACCAAGAAACTACTGTAATAACACAACAAGGGAAACTACATGGTTTAAAATCAGAACATGGGTCCCTCAGGGTTGTATCCTTTCTCCATACCTATTCAATCTGTATGCTGAGCATATTTTTTCAAGATGCTGACTTTAGGAATGTGGCATCAGCATTGAAGGAAGACTTATCAACAACCTGTATTATGCAGATGACACAACCTTCCTTGTCAAAAGTGAAGAAGACTTGACACACTTACTCTAGAAGATCAAAGACTACAGTCTTCAATATGGATTACATCTCAATACCAAGAAAATAAAAATCTTCATGACTGGACTATAGTGATAGGTGGAGAGTTGACTGAAATCAATGATTTAACTTCTCTTGGATCTACAATCAACATCTGTGGTAACAATCAAATCAAAAGGCATTGCACTGGGAAACTCTGCTGTCAAGAGCTCTCCAAAGGGTTAAAGAGCAAAGATATCAGTTTAAAGCCTAAAGTGTGCCTGACCCAAGCCATGGTCTTTTCAATAGTTTCTGATGCACCTGGAAGTTGAGCAATGAATAAGGAAGACTGAAAAAGAACCAATGCCTTTGAATTGTGGTTCTGGAGAATAGTGTTGAACATACCATAAACTGCCAAAAGAACAAACAAATCTGCCTTGAAGGAAGTGCAGCCAGAGCGATCCTTGGAGGCAAGGATGGTGAAACTTTGTCTCACCTACTTTGAGCGTATTTCCAGGAGGAACCAATTCCTGGGAAGAGATATCAAGCTGGGAAAGGTCACTGAAAGAAAGAAAAACTCTCCACAAGATAGACTGACAGAGTGACACCACCATGGGCTTGAGCACGACAGAGATTGTGAGGTTAGTGCCAGACAGGACAACTCTCCACTATCACTAAGGTCCAGATAAGGTTCAGATCTGTTCATGGAGCTGCTGTCGAAGTCGAACCCATGGCACCTAACAACTAGGAAGCTAACCCTGAAGACCAGTCTGGACTCCCCAATCACCATCAGGTCCTTGAACTCTCATGGTTTTACAATTACACATCAAGGCCCTTATTTCCACTCGGCTTGTTCCCCTTGTAAGCTTGCAGACCTGCCTCAGTCAACGAATGCCCTCTTCTCACAGGCTTGGCTCCTATTAACTCGCTTTCTTCCCTTTCCCAAGTGTCTTCAGGAACGTGAAAAAGATGTCCCTCCTGAGGGGGAAGGTGTCACGGCTGTAGCCTGCGTTCTGGAGGCAGACAGACACCAACTGAATTCCAGTTTTGCCTCTGACATAAGGGAGAAGTGAGCATGGGCCCAAACCTGTTCCTGCAAGGGCAGTGTGGAGCTAATGCCACCTACTTTCACACGGTGTTGGAAGGAACTCTAGCAGGTCACGCTGGCGCAGCACCGCAAGCAGGGTACGATCCCCGGGACAACTGCCTGTTTGACAGTTTCCCATTCCCTCCGGGTCAGCCACACACCTACTGTCAAAGCCGATGCATCCGCCCATGCAGGAAAGCAGCGGTGGGCACTCCTCCCGAGACCAAAGACTGACTCGGTCCCCACCCGCTCCTCCTCCCTCGGTCCTTCCCATAGCCAACTTGCCCTATGTTCTTCCACTTCCTGGCAGGAAGGTGACCTCCAGCCAGTCCTACAGCCCTGGCCCTGTCGCCTCGCCAGCATCACCATGGGGCCTCTGGCCCTACACCCCAACGCGGACACCCTCACCTGAGCCCCTTGGCACCATCACACCGCCCTGCAGGAACCAGAGGCGCCTGACTTACCAGGCCACACTATGCACACGTCCGGGGGGGGGATCAGCACAGTGGGGCAGCCGAGATCGCACTTCACCTCGAGCAAGGCCAGCAAGCCCAGCGCTGCGGGGCACTGCCATAACTGCAAACCCTAAAATGTCCAGGGCGTCAGGAACAACTGTCCAAAACCGCTCTGGACAAAAGCCGCTCTAAACCAGACGCCCCCCTGACAAGTGTGGAATGGTTGCAACCCCTAGGGCGGGGACGCGGGCTGTGGAAGCAAACACTTTCAGATGGGGGTGTGTGGCTTATACATTAAAAGACAGCATACTATATAGAAGGAAGATATAGCTGGTATGGGACGTTAAAGAAGTTTAAAGAGACGAACAAGAGAAACAAGGAAACAATCAGCTTTGTAAGGACGCAGCAGTCCCTTGGAGCTCTGTGTCGATCCCGTTGTTTCCCCTACACTAAGACGGTGGCACGCGCCCTCACGTGACGAGGGTGCGGCCGCGCTTGGAGGTGCTTGTCCGTCGGTGCAGCTGACTGGAAGTGCGCATGCTCCAGCTGTACAGTATCCTGGGCGCTGGAAGTGCGAACTGCTCTCGTTAGAGATAAAAGATCTCAGCAAAATAAACCCAAACAAAACCGCCTCGGTGTCTCCTTCAGTGTGGCTTCCCCATAAAAATGGGTGCTCTGGTGGCTGGTGGTAAGGCGTTGGACTGTCAGCCCAAGCCCAAAGGCAGTGAATTTAAGTCCATCAACCGCTTGTTATTGTTATGTGCCGTCGAGTCGCGTGCGACTCATAGCAACCTTATGTACAACTCTGCTCTATTCCTTGCCAATCTCTCTGTCTCCGGCACGCCTATCCCGATTACCCCAGTGACTGAATCAATCCATCTCATCGAGGGTCTTCCTCTCCTGTGCCGTCCCTCCACCCTCCCAAGCATGACAGCCCTCTTCAAGGACTGGTCCCTCCTTGCAGCATGTCCAAAGTATGTCAGACGAAGCTTCAGAATCCTTGCCTGGCTTCACACTCTCCAGGATGAACTCGTCCTAGCAGTCATGATATATTCAGTACTCTTCTCCAGCACCAAAGCTCAAAGGCATCAACTCACCTTCCATCATCCCTAGTCATTGTCCTGCTCTCTGAAGCATAGCAAGTAATGGCAAAGACCATGGTCTGTATCAGGCGCACCTTACTCTCCAGACTGACATCGTTGTTCCTCAGTACCTTGGAGAGGTCTCTGACAGCAGACTTTCCCAATGCAATTCATTTTTTAATTTCCT